GCCACCTGACTCCGGCCTATTCCTAACCCCAAATTCGGGCCGATTTGCTGAATTTTGGTGGACCCACTAATCTATTCTAACCCTAGATAACCAGTTGAATTAAAGCCGGTTATATTGAAACCGATTTATATTGGTGTTTGATTTTATAACCAGTTCCCCGAACACTAAATCCTAGTATAACTGAAAATTTTTTTTAGCGATGCCGCCAGGAAAACCGTAATTCTTGATTTTCGAATATACGGACTCGTTTCATCACATGATTACAATCTTTGGGTGATAAGCTCGAATCCTGTGAAGTGAAATTTCCGAAACCGAAAAATTACGAGTCTTCGCTTTGCGGCACTTAAATATATAAGTTTTTAAACGATTGGTTCGTTTATTCATGTCTTGAAAACTATTATATATGGATAAAGAAATATTTGAAAGTTATCAAGTGTAGTTCAACAGATTCACACGCAATTGAATAAAAAAAAATTATTTGAAGGGTATCAACTCGTCACGAACGCCGAAAATTTGTGTATGGTTCGATTTACAGCCTAGAGTGTAACAAAAACATATAAAGTAACTATATTTTTGCTAACGCATATATATGCATATTTTTTCAGATATAAATCAAAAGAAGCATTATTATATATTCTACCTCCAACTAAATTTTTCCAGACACTTCACATCGAAATATACTACATTGGTGTAAGGGAAATCTTTAAAAAAATTTAAAGACTCCGAAGATTCTTTGATGAAGTAAATGGTATCGCCTTCGACTAACCAAGATACAATAGAATATTTCAAAATTTATATACGTACATGCGTACAACAAGCATATAAGTGTCATCGGAGTTTTTTTATTTTCACATTGCACCTGATCTAAGTAGGGATGGATGCAAAAATTTAGAATATTTTGTAATTTATGATAAATAATACATTTTGGATCAGTAAAATAATACGATCAGCGCAGAATATAAATAACTATTAGTAATTTAATGTAAGTAGATATACGTCCTTTGTTCGTTGTCTGTTAGAATAATGAATGACTCATGAAATATTATGTACGTACATAAATTTTTTTCTGAAAAATATTTATCGAGTTTTAATGTATCTTAAAAAATGTCTGATTTTTAATTTATATTCGTTAATATTAATACAAAGTTGGTGGTAATTTTGACATTTTATTCGATATATGACGAATAATTTTAGTTGTGTTTTTATCACGTGGTTTTAAGCTAAAAATTAATCTGTAAGATATATAAATGTAACTCTCTAGTGAAACCAGACCTATGCCCGAGTTCCGTTACCGTCGACTTGTTTTACCGGATCTATCGGAAAGTGAATGTGGTATTTATCATTTACCTTGTTTAAGTAAAAACTCTTGAAATCACTGATAATTACTTACCAAAATAAGGATGTTCCATAGCTTCTTGAGGCGTCAGTCGTTCCTGTAGTAAAGCAAATAATGGTATCGATTAATTTCCGAAACTTAATTTTACAGTTATTTATGAAACACAACCTGATGATCATATCGCAATAGTTTGTCAAGAAAATCAATAGCTTCCTTGGAAACAAATTTTTGGTTTTCGCTAGTAATAAATTTATTCCATTGTTTCCGTGGATATCTAGCAAAAGGGTGCATGTCAAATACATAAACGAAGTTAATGTTAAGTATACTAGGAGTAAATGAACTACATATGATTAGATATAATACCTTCCCAAAATATCATCGTATTGAGTATCCAATTCTATGTCATACTTATCAAGATATGCAAAAAGCTCATCTGTGCCAAGTACTCTAGCAATTTTTACCAATTGATCATAGTTATCATGTCCGTGAAAAAAAGGCTCTTTGCGAAAAATCTAGTTGACGTTACATTAGATTAGATTATGACGCACAAAACTAAAACTAATTGTCAAATATACGACCTTACCATACTGGCAAACATGCAACCCAAACTCCACATGTCAAGGGAATAATCATATTCCTGAAAATCAACTAATAATTCTGGCCCTTTAAAATATCTAGACGCAACGCGTACATTATATTCGGTTCCTGGGTGATAGAATTCTGCTAAACCCCAATCTATAAGTCTCAACTAAATACCCAATGAAATAAAATTAATAACTTATATAATACATTTTTTTAATATGTATAGCACTGACACTGAAGTTTGGCTGAAGTTGAAATTATTTGCATCTATTAGTTTTATTGGTCAGCTTCAGCTTCAGCTAAGTCTCAGCATCAACCATTATATGATTTAAAGTGAAAAAAGAATCCAAACTTACCTTACGCTTTTCATGATCAATCATTACATTATGTGGCTTCACGTCTCTGTGCATGATACCCTTCGAATGACAATAATCTAATGCCTATGTAACAATTGAATCCTCATCGGAATGAACATCAATGAGAAATTATAAGCATTTCCAACAACAAACATAGAATGAAACCGTATACCTTCAGAAGTTCAAATATATAGTAGCGTACATCATAGTCAGTAAATTTGGGATACAACACTTTGAAGTCTGTGTTATTAACATATTCGAAAACAAGAGATGGCGTCTTAGACTAAAGAAAAAATTTCATTAGTTCTCTAACTTAAATTATATTAAGCATTAACAATTATATATCCTTAAGTGTCTTACGTGACTATCCACTAATAAGGATATATGATATAACAATTATAATTACTATTGATTCGTTAATTACCTGGGGATCTCTCACGACGTCCAAAAGTGAAATAATGTTTGGTCCACCAGCTAAATTCTGTAAAATCTTAATCTCTCTCTTGATCTTTTTCTTCTTTACCGGTTTTAGGACTTTAATCACACATTTCTCGTTGTTCATGATATTAACACCCTCAAACACTTCAGAATATTTGCCACGACCAATTTTACGCACTATTTCATAATTGTCTTGTACACTAAAGTTTTTAAGAATTACAAGAAATCTTCAATTAACGAAGAATATGCGTATATCCAAGCGGGCCTATGGTGGATCTCGTATATATTTGAAAACCAATAACTTAAAATACGAAAGTTAAAAGCAAAGACACGTTACCCCCATGAAACCTGTAAGTTATCTGTGATGAATATTGTATACAATGAACAAAATTTAAAACTTATACATCTTTACGATATAAGGAATCTATAATCTTGGAAAACAAGACACCTACCATAATCCCAATACTCTCGAGGCATACACTGATTAACGTTGGCGTACGCGCGGGCCACGCTAGTGTAAGACATTATTCAACTCGCAAAGCGTTTAGCTTAATGCACACGAATTAAATCAGATGATACCAGTTTAATCTTTGGCAAGTGTAAATATTGCCACCTTTTATTAATTAGCACTAAGTTTTATTATTTTTGACTATACGAAACATTCAATAGGCAAAAAGCGTTTTTTTTTGGTGAAACTTTTTTTTGGCTCATTAATTCGATATTGGACATGACGCAAGATCTCGGAAGATTAAGGATCGGCATATCACGGGTGCGCAAGATATACTTAACGCTAACGCTAACGCGTTTTTAAATTTATTTGAAAAATGAATACAATCAGAATGGTTTTTGCTACAGTACTATCACTTTGTCGTACTTCTCTCTTTTGGTCATTTTGCTTGGGCAAAGCCATAC